CTTATCGCTTAAAGCAATCTCTTATAGACAATCATAAAAACGTCATTTAAGTCCTGGAGGTAACAAACATATAAAAAAAATAACCGAATTTAGAAACTCCAATTTTTTAAGTCCATAAAAATTTTAAAGTACATAAAATATTAAAAATACACACCAGAGGGAGACTTTGTACAAAAACCTTTTGGCACCTCTGTCCTATTCGTATTTCTACCGTGAAGCAGTTGTGTTTGCATGGCTGTTTCGGTTTGACGAATGAATATGGCAGTGAATTTACAGGGTACATAGGAATAACACCTGAGTCCTCAGGAATGGCAACGCATGGGGGGTATCATGGGCGAAACAGTATATTCTGTTATGTCCATGCTACTACTCATGTCTATAGGCGACGATTACCACTTTCCATTAGGTGGGCCGTCAATTTGTTTGTCATTCTAAGTTGCATAAAAACAAAATGAAAGATCGACTAGACAAGTGTAGTCATAGCAAACTGTTGTCTTTCCCGTCTATCTTAGATAGAGACGTGAGTAAGTTTGTTATATATATATATATATATATATATATATATATATATATATATATATATATATATATATATATATACATATATATTGTTGCATTGTGTACAGCCAGTTCTCCTCTGTTGTATCAGTTTTTTTTTTTACGGATCACCGTACAACAATGTAACCTTGGATGCGACATGGCATTTTACTTTCAATGGGGAATCACCGGTCACTACACGACAAAATGATTTTTTTATTTATCTTTTTAATTTAGAGGTGTTTATCCTATAAGGATATGTCAGCCTCATTATACCCTAATTTTATAAAATACGTCCATACTTAAAACATTAATACATAAATGAATAATACACAATATCTTAGCAGTCTATTTTAATAAAGGGAATTATTGATACAAAAATATAGTTATTAAAGATTTTGCCATTCCGGAATGTGGTTCTGCGAGAAAAAACGAGAGAATAAAAAATTATAGGATTATCAAACGACTTCAAAAACATGTATGTTCTCAATTCGATTGTGATTTTTATGTTCGTCACCCCATAATTTCGTCATTTGTAAACCGATTTGGAATTTTTTTTTTTATCTGAAAATATATGGTCCAATAGAAATTTTATTCAAATCGATTTAGTAGTTTAGGTTTTAAATCTAAATAAATTGTTTTGGCACAATTAAAATCATGGTTTTTTTGGGACACAATCTTTAATTACTGAAAAAGAAAATTATACGAACAAACCTAAACATAACTACCTTTATATATATATATATATATATATTTCAAACAGAAAAATCAAATTTTGTTAAAATTATCACACAAACACTCTCGAACTTTTAATTAGTAATTTTTTTTACTTTTGTAAACAAAAATCAATTGCCGAATATAATCCATTTGTAAGCGAATTACTTCAGAACAGCAACATTAATTAAATGCAAATCACTCATTTAGCAATTTTTTTTTGTCTTTTGTTTGTAATTTTCAATACAAGGATTGTATGAAAGACAAATATTTGAAAAATCGTACGGTAAAGTGAAAAAATTGTATGCGTAAAAAAGGAAAGATTCGGTCTGATTTTACACAATAGTACACTAATGCTAAACAGTGGCAAGCAGCTAGTTTAATTATAAATTTATTGTTATTTTCATTAATTTACCATTAAAATACAATTTAAAATAATAGGCACTGAAACATCCTACTCTAGTCACTAATCATTTCTTTTTTTTTTATACCACTGATGTGGCAAACAATCATACGGCTCACCTGATGGCAAGTGGTTACCGTAGCCTATGAACACCTGCAATACCAGAGGTATTACGCGCGCTTTGCCGACCCTAGAGAAACCTCTTTACCCCCTTTTGAAGAACCCATGCTGTAGTCTCTTGGGAAAACCTCAATTCTACTTTTTGAATTATAGAACCCTAAAAATATGTCAGAAATCTTGTGAAGAAAAAGAGATACACAGTAATCTGTATTAATTGCTAAAAGAATCATTAAAATTAGACCGTAATGACGAAGATATCGTGTAAAATACACACAGAAAACAGTTTTCTAATTGGGAATTTGATTTTTTAAATAGATCGAGTACTGGCTGTGTATATATACCTGGACGATAACTATGGAACAAGTTGAATTATAAATCTTATAAAATTCTGGCATCTGTTTTATATTTCACTTATGAAATTTCCAAACAGTGTTGCCATCCTATTACAAAATTTCAGTAATAGACTAAAGATTTATTGCATGGTTATTGTCTATTTGGATGGATATTTTTATCGTTATATTATGTAAAGAAAGAAAGAAGGAAATATTTTTATTCGAGTAAACTTAGATAGGGAGATAAAGGATTTGGCCTGGGACAGAGCTGGCTGGAGGAAGATGCATGAATTAGTTGCACCGACAAGAGGAAAAACTATTAAATGAAAAGAAGAAGAAACTTAGATTTAAGCATTTTTGAATAGTCATTTTTTCATTACAGCCCATTTGAAACGCAATTTCAGCTAAGAATGATGGGCAAGAAAATCAGCTGTTGCTTTTTTCAAACTAGATGGAGTGACGATCTCAAATGCATTGCAAGAAGTTAGTGGATGCAGGTGGCTCAGAACCGTTCTTTATGGCAGTCTATGGGAGAAGTCTATGTCCAGCAGTGAACGGATGTTGTTAAATATACGTATGTAAAAGTTCGTAAAGATGTTTGAATGTTTGCCACTCAATTAATCTTGAACTACCAACCATACGCATAATTTTTAGAGTTCAGCCAGTATTTGGACTCGATACCCCCCATGCGTTGCCATTCCTGAGGACTCAGGTGTTATTCCTCTGTACCCAGTAAATTCACGCCATATCCCATTGAAGGGTTCAAACCAAAACACAGCCATGCAAACACAACTGCTTCACGGTTGAAACATGAATGGAACAGAGGTACCCAAGCAATCGACTGTTTGTACAAAGTCTCCCTCTGGTTGGTATGTTTTACTGTATCTTATGTTGGTGATCCTATTAATAAATAAATAAATAAAAAAACAACCGAACTGATCCTAAATCCGTCTGGTCGCAAATCCGGCCCCATATGAAGTATTGCTGTCACTTATGGGCGGGAGCACCTAGATACCAGCTTGAACCCTTCGACTCAGTGCAACAACGAGCTATGAGAATTGTCGATGATCCCATGCTTGCAAGCGGTATCGAACCCTTAAGTCTTAGGAGAGATTTTGCCTCACTCTGCGTGTTCTACCGCTTATACAACGGATTGTGATCAGTCGAATTATTCAATATGATGCCTGCGGCCACTTTCATAGATCGTACGGCTCGCCATCGACAGGGGGTTCACCCTCATGATTACAGCCCCCAAATGGTCGCGTACAACGCGATTTCAGAGATGTTTCTCCCACGAACACTCAGGTTATGGAATGAGCTCCGCCGATATCCCAGAGACTACAGCATGGGGTTCTTCAAACACAGGGGGTAAAGACAACTTCACGGTTGGCAACGCGCGCGAACATACCTCTGGTATTGCAGGCGTTCATAGGCTACGTTAACCGCTTACCATCATGATCCGTATTAATTTAAACCTCAATAAAAAAAAAAAACTGAACACCTTCTTGTTTTTGTAGTCGGTTAAAAATATTGAATGATTCGTCATTTTCGATGGCCAACTGAATGCATTTATCAAGCGTGCCAGTTACATAACTGCATTAGAGGATCATTATGGTAAAATGATATTATAAACTTAATGTTATATTAATTGATTTCGTCATTATATTTAATTGGTGGACACTTGACCACTATAATATATAGGGAAGTATCAACGGCCAGTCAATAGGTAAATAAGACATACGACACACTGTTGGAATTCGCAGTTAGGCTTTTAGATATGTTTTAAGAGGGATGCTGCTGATCATCCCCTGCCCTCCCTTAGTCGTCTCTTACGACACCCACGGGAAAAGGAAGGGATGGCCTATTCTATGCCGGGACCACACGGCCTAACTACTAGATAAAAGAAAAAACTACATCATCTTCCTACTTCTTGGGATAAAATCCCAATTATTATTTGGGGTCAGTGTAATATGGTTTTCCCTTATACCAATTATTATTTGTGGTCGGCATAATATGGTTTTATCCATGTTACTAAAGGACTTGGCTTATAAGTTTACGACTGGCCGCCTGCCTGACAGAAGAAAATACTACATACTATGATAAAAAAAAAAACAAAACAAAGAAAATCTTTTTTTCTATTGCTGTTAATGGATTCCTTTATGAATAATATTTACAACTGCCTCTAGGCCGACAACAATTGGGATAAGGGTTTGTTATCAATGGGGAGGTTAGACCCCATCGATATCAATATACCCTATCAGGTCAACCTCCACACGGTTACCCCTGGAAACCATCGTGACTAATTTATTGTTGAATTCGTCACGATGGGCGATGGTCAGTTAGACCTGCCCTTTCATCCTCACCGATCGTCCCTCATTGGTGTCCCGCCAGCGTATACCGACAGCACAGATGGGGTTAATTACTGCATCAAATTGGATACGGTTTTCACAGTTGAGTTCCTGAAGGCGTAACTTAAAATCTAGTATATGTTTTATCTTGAAGTAATCTATTTCATTGATTTTCCTACATCTGTAACGTACTAACCAACTTCGTACAGGAAGGAAAGAGATTTTTAGTAATGGGATCAAATAGACCCCTTTACTAACAATTTACCCTATCAGGTCGACCTCCACGTGGCTCCCCCTGGAAACCATCGTGGCTAATTCTAGTTGAATTCGTCAGGATGTGCTAACTGACCTGCCTTGTCATCCTCACCGATCGTCCCTAACTGGTGTCCCACCAGCGTATACCGATAGCACAGGCGGGGTTACCACACCATTATCACCCATTAAAAAAAACAACTTCGTACGTAACTTAGTACGCATGGGTACGAAGTAGCGTATAAATATAAAAGGCAACTAATAAAAATGTATGGAAAATATCATGGGACTGACCTGAGTGCCTTCCCGGCGGGCTGCTCAACGATCTTGGTGTATGGGCCGGCAGCGGGAGCGGGAGCGGGCGCGGGCGGCCGCGACATGTTGTCCGCTGACAGTGCGGCCGCGCCCGCGCCGAACGACGGTTCGTATTGCGAAATTACGTCGACTGCACAGACAACACTGTCGTTATAAGTACGTACATAACTAGGCGGCGCGGTGTCGGGCATTTCTCTTTACATTACATGTGATAGAACAGTTTGGAAACATATCAACAATTAACAGGCGTACAGGCTAAGTAAGGATCGTGTTCATAGAAACTGAATAACTTTCACCAAATTGAACTATTTTTATGAAACTGAACAATGTCGAATCTAAAAAGTTTTTACACAATATTACAAGTATTAGAGTGAGATATGATACAGGTGTACAAACCCACAGACAATAGTCGTTGCCTATATAGCGATTAGTTTAACAACTTGTTAGCAAGGGTGGGCTTATCTCTAAAAGAGATCTCTTTCAGCCAACCCAAGGCAGTTAGAAGGAAAATAATTAACGGGTATATACACATATACAATAATAGTATTATTAATTAAAAGCTAATATAATTTATACTGATAAACCAAAAAATACATATCAAAATAAAGCCAAAATCTGTGGAAATGGACGCAAACAATTATATTTCCAAAACCCTGTACGCTTAGGAGGGAAAAAACAAAATATAATTTATAATAATATAAATTTCAGGTTATTGTTGATATATTTCGTACTGGCAACACTACACTTCACTCACTCAGCATTATGGCATTTACATATGATTAGTATTAGGAGCACAATATTTTTTTCCAATGCGATAAATCAAACGAGGCAAAGACAACGCGTGGAAACAGTCATGCCGCCAACCGACCGTGTAGCACTGGCCACGGGCGTGCGTTGAGGAAAACTGATCATTAGAGAAACATAAAGTAATATAATATACTATGATTAATACAATCATTATGGGAAATTTGGTGTTGTACACGTACCAATAGGTAATTAATTTATTAGACATTTGCTATATAAAATTATATTGTTACACTCGCACACCTATGAAATAATCACGTACAATGTCTTTCATCTACAAAACATTTCAAAATCGATTCAGCATTGGCGAAGATATAGCGTAACATACAAACAAACAAAAAAAATACCCCGTAACATCCAAAATTTAAGATTTCGTTCCACAAAAAGTTTCACTTGTGACCAAACAAGTTATTTTTATTTCAAAACTAAACTACTGAAGCTTTTGATAAAATTTCAATGGAACTAATCTAAAAATATATCCTTTCAAATAAAAAAAGGGATTGTTAGCAATGGAGACTAAGGGCTCTGTTGCTAGCAATATGGCCTTTCAGATCGATCACCCCGTGATCCTCCTTAGAAACCATCGTGCTGAATGACAAGCGTATTCATCACGATGGGCTAACTGACATGCCTTTTGCATCCTCACCTATCATCTCTCACTGGTGCCCCGTCAGCATATATCGTTGGCGCACGCGGGGTTACCATTCCATTATCATCCATTAAAAAAAACACCTATCATGTGGGCCGGGAACTTGGGAGAATGGCAAAAAAGCTGACGGCCCATTTGATGGAAAGTGGTAAACGTCGCCTATAGACATGAACAGTACCATGGACATAACAGACTGTATACTGTCTCGCCCATGGTACCGCCCATACATTCCCATTCCTGAGGACTTAGGTGTTATTCCTTTGTACCCTGTAAATTCACTGCCATATCCCAACCTTCAAACCGAAACACAGTCGTGCAAACAACTGCTTCATAGTAGAAACACGAATGGGGCTTTACCTGGGCTATCTATATATCAAGGAGATGCGATGGCGATATATATAAAAAAATGTAAATGTAAAAATGTATTTATTGGAACCATAAAAAATTACAATTGTAGGGTAGTGTACGATAACAGCAATAAATTCGTTTACATATAACGAAACTTCATAGTGGTACTTACAAACATCACTCAGGTTGGCGCCTTCAGCATCATTTTGCTCTACGACACCGGTGGGCAGCACGCTCTCTGGAACAGTTCACCAACCAATAAGCACCTATCGCCACGTCCCACACACATGCACACAAACACACGCACACCAAGAACATCAGCATTGCCAGATTGGATATTTTTTCGCATTTTAGGGTAAATTTAAAAAAATAAACACTTGGAGAAAAGTGGTATGTGCTTAAAGAAATTTAGAATAGAATAAAATGGAAAATATTTATTGCCAGAAAAACATAATTACAAAAAAAAAATACAAAAAAATATTTTATATATAATATATAAGAAGTGTCTCATATTAGGCAAAAGGAACTGGTTCAGCTGTCCCAGTGCAATGTGTAAAGCTGCACAGCGCTGGTTTTCAGCCAGTGCCTCGTGTAACAAATTGCTATATTTTTTTTGGAAATATTGGGTTAAGTTTTTATTACTTATATAGTTTACAGAGGTTTATATACCTCTGTAAAGTACAGTAAAATATATGAATAAAGATAAGTTACAGAGAATAGGATAAAAAAAGGGTGAAAAGTAGAAAGAGAAGCATATGGCAAGACGCAGTGAAAGACGATTCAAGTTTGTAATAAAGTAAAAGTCCTGGAAGTTATATTGATGAATAGAAAAAATATTTGGCGTTTGAACAAAAATTAAAATTCACATCTGGCAACACTGAACAACATACACACATGTACGGACAACATAATAATAATAATAATAATAATAATAATAATTTTTATTTCAGACTTTTTGGTCCATTAAATATTTATTAGTAACAATATTCTTAAAAACTAATGTTAGTAAATTTACATACACAATACACATACACACACATACACACATACAATATATTAAGCAGTATACAGATAATCACCGCTGCACAATTCCATTGGAAATTGCGCAGCAGTGATTAACGTACACACAGTCCAGCCTGCTTGCTATCATACTCAGGATGCTGTTGGTGCTGGCACGTACTCTGCGCACCAGGGATGCACACCTTTTTCGCATCGTGGCATAAAAACAATCTACACGATGCTCAGCGAACATCCCTGACGCGCTGCAGAATCGTGGCAGCCCCATCAACACCCTGAACGCGTTATTATATTGGATACGGAGGTCGCTGTAGGATTTTTGAGTATATACAGCCCACAGGTTGCATGCATAGAAAGATGTGCAATGTGATCTAAATAACGTAATTTTAACTTGTCCAGAGCACCGCGCAAACCTGCGTGCTATCATATTCGCCCTCACCGCCAGCGCCCTCCGCTCCCGTTCAATGTCATCATCATCTTTGAGATCCGAGGCCAATTGATGTCCTAAATATTTAAATTTATACACCCTCTTCAGCGCTATACCCTTAAGTTTAATATCTGGAAAGCCTATTGAGTTTTTGCCTCTGCTCTCAAAGACCATGACCACACTTTTCACAGCATTGTATATCAGTCCGTGGCATGCAGCATATGACTCGCAAATAGCCACGAGTTTTTTAAGCCCACATATCGACGCGCTGAGCAGCACCATGTCATCAGCATAACTTATATTATTAACATTAATGCCGTCTATGTGACAGCCGACACGGGTACCACTCAAAGCAACAATCAGATCATTAATATACAGATTAAATAGTACCGGCGAAGACAACCCTCCTTGCCTCACACCACACTCCAATCTGTATGACTGCGACATAGTCCCCGCCCATCGCACGCTATTGAGCTGATTTCCATACCAATATTTGCAGATATTTATGAGCTCTGATGGTAATTGAAAATTTTCGAGCTTTTTCCACAAGATGTCATAAGAAACCAGATCAAAAGCTCTCGACAGGTCGAGAAAGCATGCATGGACTGGCGTTTTTCGATTTGTATAGTATCTAATAGCATGCTTAACACAAAGAACAGCGCTTTCAGTTGACAGTCCAGTTTGAAAGCCAAACTGGTTGTCATGAAGTTTTATATGCTGAGTCACAGAGTTAAGCATGCTATCAAACACCTTTGAGACAACAGTAGCTAAGGAGATTGGCCTATAATTATTTTTGTCTGTTATATCAGAAATTTTATTCTTAACTACAGGTATCACCACTGTTCTAATCATCTCCTCCGGCATGTACGAGTGACTTATACAAAAGTTAAAGAGCATTGCCAACAGTCTCGCCAAGTGTGGCCCAGCATGTTTTAGATGTTCAATACTGAGACTGTCGTGTCCTGGAGATTTACCTCTACTCATAGATTTTATAATTCGATCTACTTCACTAGCAGTACATCTAATTTCCACCACACGTCCAGTCTCAACATTCAACTCCGCACGCGATGGCCCCAAAGGGGATTTAACAGTAAAATGATCCTTAAAAAGATCAGCTATGTTCTCGGCATTACTTACGCCTTCAATAGACACAGGAAGGGCAGACTTTGTACTTAGCTTCCTCGTAGCCTTCCAAAAAGACCGAAAGTCATTATTAGAATGATGTGAAGCTAGAATATCCATCTTTATTTGTTCTTCGTGGTCTTGACACCACTTTAGACGTTTCTTAAAGTATCTTCTAGCCTCACACATATCATTATAGATGGAGCCAACTCTAGGTTTACCATAATCACACCAAACATGAAATTTCTGCCTGGCATTCCTGTGTGCCTCATTAACATGTTTATTCCAACCTATTACAATTTTCTTTTTCTTACGCTTACAATGTGTGTTATTTCTACTAGCTACAGCCGCTCTCTTTAGTACATTTATTATATCATTATACAACTTATCAATGACCTGTCTATGTTGTATAACATTACAAGTCTGATCGGCACAGTTATGGAACTCGGATGGAAACTTAAGAAGTTTGAAATGAGAATGACACTCATTATAATATGAGTCGATTTGTTCTATGCCTCTGTCACCCCACAAAACATTGTTACGTTCACATTTTACTTCTTCTATCTTAGGTGGAACTACGTCTAAATTACACTCAAGAATCAGCGGAAAATGGTCTGACCAGAGTATGTCATATTGTATGTGCACTCTACGTACAGAGGACACAATACTATACAATGATCTAGCCACCGCTGCGACCCATGAGCTTCAACAAACGTAAAACAGTTCGATGAACCCTTCAACATTTCTATATCTATACAAGTCCATTCACAAAATATAGATAATTCCTTAAAGAATGATTCTGTGGGATGAGCATTGAAATCGCCCATAATATAAACACAATCCACATAGCTTTATGGCTTACAATAACCGCTTTACACGAATCTTACGGAGTAAAAGTATTAGCTGGTACTTGCTAGAAATATCAACATTCGGTCTCTTCTGGACACTGTCATGGTTAAATGTTATCATCCTTAACTGGTACCCTGCCAGCGTTAACCAATAATGTTTACGGGATTTATTTATAATGCGTGATAATCGAATGGTAACCCCGTCTACGTTATACACTGGCGGGGGCATTAAAACGTAATGATTCGCGTAAAGTGCATATTATAACCGTCTTAGTCCTCCTGAAACTACAGCACTACCAAGCATACATATCAAACATTCAGCGTGTATAATATAATCATAAATACTTATATTTATACCAATAGAGATTTATCGAACACTAACGAACTAAGATGTCGATATGGACCGCCCTAGACGAACGTATGCCGACCAAATAGGCGACGCAATATGCTAATAATACCTACGAAAGACACCACTAGTAAAAGAGACCGACACCAGCGTAGTTGAGAAGCGATATCATCATTCGTTAGAGGAACAGAAAATGTCAATAATGAGGTCTAAAGGCCCCATTGCTAGCAACATACCCTATATTGTGGTAGAGCCACGCTGTAATCCTATATGGTATTGCAGCATGAATGGGCCGGCTCGACCGGGGAAGTACCACACCCTCACAGAATACCGACGCTAAGTGGTTGCACTTTTAATGCGATCACATTCCGTATGGTGAGTGAGGGAGTCCGGAGGCCCATCCCATACCCATCCCTTTCCTATTCCTAAAATCCTTTCCCCAACCCCGTCCCCCTATCTTACAACACGCAACCATGGCAGTGGAATTAAAAAAAAAATAACATACCCCAGGGAGGTACCAGTAACCATGTTGCTGGAGAATCCTCTCTCGAGCAACCACGCTCGGGCTGCCCTGCGTATTCTGGGGGGGGGGGGGGGGGCAAAATTCCGCTCTTTGGAACCAAGGACAAACGGAGCAAGATTTCTACGGCATCCCCTTCGCTCACTGTGAGCTTCTGCAATATCAGGGGATTACATTCTAACCTAAACGCTGTCCACCACCACCTAGAAACGGCGAGGCCGGCATTGCTCTTTCTAACGGATACACAGATATCCTCTCCAAACGAAACTTTATACCTGACGTACCCGGGCTATAAACTTGAACATTGTTTTGTTTCGCGTGCCGGTGTATGCGCGTATGTCAGAGAGGATATCTGCTGTCGCCGCCTTGGAACTCTTGAAGGTACGGACCTGTCTATTTTATGGCGCGTAGACTGCAATGACCACCCTCGCGTCTATGCATGCCTATACAGGTCCCACAGCGGTAACATCGAAACCGACCAACTCATTGAGTACGTCCAAATGGCTACAGATTCCCTGCTCGAACAGATTCCTTCCGCTGAAGTCGTGATTCTTGGCGATTTTAATGCCCACCATATCGAATGGCTTGGTTCACGTACAACCGACTATGCGGGAAGATCTGTTCATGACTTTGCTTTGGCTTATGGTCTGACGCAGCTTGTTTCCTCGCCTACGCGAATACCTGATGTGTTGGACCATTCACCTTCACTGTTGGACCTTCTGCTGACCACCCACCCAGACAACTATGTAATTTCCGTCGAAGCTCCGCTTGGATCGTCGGATCACTGTCTGGTGCGGAGCGAGGTGCCTCTCATGAGTCCGATTCCACCACGTTCCACGGGTAGACGTTGTGTTTGGCACTACAGGTCAGCAGGCTGGGATGAGATGTGGATTTTTTTCGCATCTTACCCATGGAGGCAGGTTTGCTTCGCACTGGGGGACCCCGACGCCATCGCCAATTCCATCGCCGATGTGGTGCTTCAGGGAATGGAATTATTTATTCCTAACTCTGTGGTACCTGTCGGTGGGAAATCCCAGCCCTGGTATGGAGCCTCTTGTAGAATAGCATCTCGCCTGAAACAGGAGTGCTTCCTAGCCTGGGCCAAAGGTGTGGCGTCGCGAGATCCTAACATCAGTGCCCTTAAAAAGAAGTATAACTTTGCCTCTAGGTCCTTCAAAAGAGTTTTGGCCACAGCGAAGTCAGAGCATATTGGTAGAATTGGCAAGAGATTGGCTAGTTTACCTTCGGGGTCTCGAGCTTTCTGGTCTCTTGCCAAAGCTGCACAAGGGAATTTCTGTCAGTCATCTTTTCCACCATTGCGCAGGGATAACTCGTTAGCTCTGAACGCCAAAGAGAAGGCCGATCTCCTTGGATCTCTCTTTGCATCAAACTCGACGTTGGATGACGGGGAGAAACCACCGCCGACCATCCCGCGTTGTAAGAGCTCTATGCCGGATGTTAAATTCACGCAAAGATCAGTGCGTAGAGCACTTCTCTCCCTTGAAATCCATAAGTCGAGTGGGCCTGATGGCATTCCTCCAATTGTGCTTAGGACGTGCGCACCAGAGTTGGCTCCGGTTCTTACGCGTCTTTTTCGGCTCTGTTACTCATCAGGTATAGTCCCAAAGTTTTGTAAGACTGCTTTGGTGCATCCGATCCCTAAAAAAGGAGACCATAGCTATTACCTCCTTATTCTCGAAAGTCATGGAATCAGTTGTTAACCATCAACTGCTCCGGTACCTAGAGGATCGCCAGCTGATCTCAGATCGCCAGTACGGCTTTCGACGGGGACGCTCGGCTGGTGATCTTTTAGTTTATTTAACACACCGATGGGCGGTGGCAATCGAGAATAAGGGAGAGGCCTTAGCTGTTAGTCTGGATATTGCGAAAGCCTTTGATCGGGTGTGGCATAGGGCACTAATCTCAAAACTACCTTCGTTTGGGTTGCCTGCGAGATTGTGCAGTTGGGTCGCCAGTTTTCTTAAGGAACGTAGCATTAAGGTCGTAGTCGACGGAGCATGCTCTGACTTAAAACCTGTGAATGCTGGTGTCCCGCAAGGCTGTGTACTATCTCCGACACTGTTTCTTCTGCATATCAATGATATGTTACAGATCAGTGATATTCATTGTTATGCGGACGACAGTACAGGAGATGCATTATACACCGGTCATGCAAAGATCTCGCGGGCACATACCGATGAGCTCCGGAACAGACTTGTGTCTGAAATCGAAACTTCACTCGATAAAGTTTCGATCTGGGGTGAACGCAATCTTGTTCACTTTAACCCTAAGAAGACACAAGTCTGCGTGTTCACCGCAAAAAAGACACCGTTTGTCGTATCTCCTCACTTTCAGGGCACTTCTCTCGATAATAAGTCGAGTCTGGGGATTCTTGGCATCGATATATCTAGCGACGTCCAGTTTTGCGGTCATCTGGAGGAAAAAGCTAAGATAGCTTCCAAAAAGTTGGGGGTGCTCAATAGGGTGAGACGGTATTTCACGACGGTATATTGCTAGAAATGAGGTAGTATGACTGACAGGTATGATCACCCTCAGGTCAGGATTGGTACACCCAGCCTGCGCTATCGGTATACGCTGACGTGGCCCAAGTGAGAGACGATGAATTTGAATAAAACAGAGGGCCTACCATGAAATGTGTTCCGAAATTTCGGAGCCAAACGAAATTGATTTTAAAATTAAATAATAAATGATTTAAATTTGATTGACACAAATTTGATGTTAAAATTAAATAATAAATGCCGTTTGGAAATATTAAAAATGTTAAAATATTGTTCTTTTGGACAATTACGATAGGATGTATAACGAACGAAATATTATACTCCATTTATTGTTCCGATTTTGGTATAAACAAAAACACGAAA